GGAAATCTCCCCACTCCAAACGCAAACAAGTACCACCTCGACTTCACTGGAGTAGCAAGGACAGACACTTCCTTCACAGAAAAATCAAACTTATCTCTCTTTTCTCCTTCCGATTTTGATTTTGATTTTTTCCCCGAAAATATCCGGCTGATCTTCTTGGATTTTTGTTGCTTGCATCCTTTTCTGGGGTCTTGAGGTTTCTCTGTTACTACCGCTGGTTCTCCGCAAGGAATGAGTTTCCCACAGAAGATGATATTATCCGTGGTGTGATAGGTTGAAGGAGTGAAGCCTTCACCGAAGAACTCGAAGAAATCTTGATCAGATGATGAGATCTTCTGCTCCTCGGTGAAGTCATTGAAGTACCGATCACCTCCATCCGTACTGTTTCTAACAAACTCGCAGAGGGAAAGAGTTTCCTCCGCTTCATCTCCAAAGCCTTGCGACTCAGATTCTTTAACACCCATTTGTAAACAAAAAGAATCTCAAGAAAGAGAACAAAGGATGAGTTGTGGAAGTTCTGGTATTACTAAGTCCAAGAATATATTATTTATACACATGAATACGAAGGAGAGTGGTTTGGGAAAAGGAGGAGGGACCAGGCAGATTTTGGACTGTAATGGCTTCTGGAGAAAATAATTACGAATAACTAAAAGAAAGTCTAAAATTAACATTGTATTTTCCGGGTTGGTCTTCTAGAAGAGCGGCTGATTTTTAATTTCTAGACGGGCGAAATCCCCTTTCTTTTTTCATTTTTCCTCAACTCTGGTATTTTGCGTCGATTTGGTTCCTTAACTTAATTTTGTACTTTCTATAGTTTTTTTTTTCTTTTGTACATTTAATTATAAATTATATAAAAGAGAATAATTGTTTCTTATTTTCAAACTCTTTTTATCAAACTCAAAACTCAAATTTAAGATATCCAATTTAAAATTTCAAATTTTTAATCATTGAATTACCACATTGAGATATAAGTATTTTTTTTTTAACAAGATAATTTGGGAGAAAGAGAAATGAAATCCATAAAATTTAAAAACATAATTTACAAAAAATGATTCTCACTTAATCAAGAATATTTGACCACTAGTATAAGAATTTTTCTATAGTTTATTTGTTCTAAAATTCTACACAAAATTTGTCCCTCCCTCAATGGCTCAATTTTGTACTTCTAATGATGTAGAAATATTGCGTCGTCCAATTTGTTTTGTTGAATAAAACTTTTAAACACATTAGCATTTATCCCTATAGGTTAACTAATAAGTTAAAATATTTTTTTGTCAAATTACCAATTTATTCCTATCTTCTCTCCTCCTCCTCCTCCTCCTCCTCTCTCTTCTTCCCCCATCCTCTATTTCCTCCCTTTCTTTGTTTATTACCCATTATCTTTTTAACTTGTCTTTTTTCTTTAATGAATGAATCCTAATGCTAAATCATCTTTGTAATATTAAATTATTTCATCCAACTCAAACAGCGGTTCGATGTGTAAATGCCTTGTCATCTAATGTTTGGTAAAGCATAGTTTTTCGTTAAGTTAATAGACATCTCAGCAGGCCATTAACAGAAAGGATGATTATTTTGGTACATAATAATTATGAGTTGATGGACCAAGAAAGTGTAAAATTGAGTTGAGGGATGAAAATAGTGCAAAACATTAGAGTTGAGGAATTAAAAAGAACATTTAATTTTTAATATAACAAAAATGTGTTTCCCAACATATTAACTATCGGATGAGAAGGGATCTCTATAACAGGAGTGAACCCTTTATTCAATAGCTGGTATTTTACAATTAATATGAAATATTAAACAGAATTATAGAATTTTGTTTTCTTTTTTTCTATTCTATTTCTCCTTGCTATTTTCTTACATTAGAAACAAGTATTGAACCAACCCTAAGGGTTTAATCATTGATAAGCAAGTATAATCTTATATATGAGGTTTGGAGTTTAAATTTTAAGGTTAGCACCTAAGAAACTTAGTTTTCTTGAATGCATTAGGCCTATATAGAAGTTCCCTTAAAATCATCTAAAAAAATCAATTCTACTGTACGCAAAGGTTGATACATAAATAACTTAGTGAACCCGATGATCCAACGCCACTAGTGGGGTTCACCTATTGGGAGCCTAAGCCCCACACCTAGGGATGATAATTTCCTCCACAGCCTATGGAGCTCTGTAGAGATCTTCATTGCGGAGGCAGAAATTCTCAAAATATTATTTTTTATGGCGTGAGGGTGGAGGCAATTTTTTTCTGACAAAATTTCACACAAAATTTTTTATGGAAGGCAAAAAATGCCTTCCATCTCCATACTCATGGGGAATGAAGGGTGCTCGCAAGGATTCTCCATACCCACGAAAGCGTACAAAAATATTTTTTTATTTGGTTATATTCAAAAATAAATTGACTCATTCAATTCTTAATTTAGTAAAAAAGTTCAAAAACATTTTAGGAAAAAGATAGTTATTTCTAAGTACTTGTTTTAGAAAAGGAAACGAATCAAATCAAATCAAATCAACTTTGCCAAAAAAAATAAATAAAGAAAGCTAAATTCAAATTAAGAGAAACACACTAAACAAAGAGGAATGGTTGGGAGGAACTAAAGCAATAGAGAAGAGAGATAAAAGAGTCAAAGTGTTTGTGATTAAAATTTGTAAATTTGAGAATTGAAATATTTGGGTTTATTATTATTTATAAAAATAAAAGTTATAACTTTTTTTTTTGAATTTATAGTTCCTCGCAACAATTCCCAAATCTATCAATGATGGGGATGAAAAGGGGGTCCCTACTCTTATGGGTACCCCTTTAACCCTTCCCTTCCCCTTCACGGCTTTGCCCCCTCTCCTCTGAAAAAGAAAATCTTTATTACCTTTCTAACTAAAGTTTAATTTTGATAAGGAAAATATTAGCTTTGTGGTGTAATATGTGTATATAATAAATAAATACTCCTTCTATCTTAATTAAAATAATAAATAGTTTTTATTTTATTTTTAAAATAAAAATTTGGAGATAATTTTTATTTTTATTTATTGTACCCTTAAAAATAAATAAAAATAAAAATAATATTTTAATCAAGGGATAGAGAATTAAAATTAAGAAATAGTTATAATGTTAAATAAATAGAAAAATATTTGTCTTTAAAAATAAGAAAAAATTACTATTATTTTGAAATAAATTTTAAATAAAAAATATCCATCATTTTAAAACGAAAAGTATATAAAAAGGGTTATTTTTTACAATAGAATTCAAAATAAAGAAAAGGGAAAAAATTTACATAAAGATGATCCAATTGATAAGATTAGGGGGGGTCGGTGTGTGTTTGAAAGTTTCAACCTTTAATTTAGACTTTTCGCTGTAATTGCTTTACATCAAAACTACTGTCAAACGCAAATAATGTTTAATTCTACATGAAACTAAACTTGATTGGAGTATAAAAAGTGTCTAAATCAAAGTACGTGCAATTTTCAATACAGAGATTTGCTAGTTTTCAAAAGAACGTACTTCCGACGGTCCCAGCTCAGAAACTATATTTTTTTCAAAGGATTGGATGATTAGTTTACTAGTTTTTCAACTTATGCATTACGTAGTCTTACTCTTACCTTCTCCGCGTGAAGAAGACCCAAAAAAAAAGAAAAAAAAAAAAAAAGC